GAAGTGTACAAGCCGTGTACGTGTTGCTGAAGGTATTTCTTGGGATGGTTTTTACTTAGATTGTTTTTAGACAGGGTTAAACCAGTCTTACACTGTTACACAGATTAGACCAAATTCAAACAGATCAGACCAGACTTAAACAAATCAGGCCTGAATTTCTTATTATAAGATACACAGAAACCAGACGCTTCCCAGAACAGTTCAGACTAGACCAGACCAAACCAAACTTAAACAGACCAGATAAGACCAGACCATCAAATTTCTCTCCAAGTAAAAACATCCTTAGTGAGTACGTAATTTCCGTTTATTTGGTTTTGATCAAAAGGTTCAATTCGGTTTTATATATTAAAATTTGAAATTATGGTTAGATTGATTTGGTTTGTTTCGATTCTGTTCCGGATTTTTTGCTTTTTACACACAAAAATTTCACTTGATTTAAAATGAACGATAGTTGGAGGATCAATCATATTACATAAGCTAGTGTCTTTCACGCGCAATGCACGCAATGCGCGAGAGTCAATGTCCACCTATAATTTATATTAGAACGGCCACATTTCACATTAGATGATACAACCATGATCGAGTTCATGACTCTTCTCATGCGTCGACATTAGATGATATAGCCGATCGATTTTTGGTCTTTTGAATCGATATTTTGTCAACGCAAAAGATGCACTTTTTTTTGTAGTGTCACATTTCAAGTTTAGCATAACTTGAATCATGTCACCTCATAAAAATATTTTGACTATGTAATATTTTAATAACACTTCATATATCATCATGTTAGGCATTTCAAGCATAAATTTATTAATTTTGAGTTTCAAATTTTTATGATACATGACTCCCGTTTTTGCACTTCAATAGAATTTCTTGAGTTTTTGTGTCAATCATGTTGATCAATCATTATTTAAAACATATTTTTGCACAATTTCTTGATGACTCAATAGCTTTGGGCAATTTAATTTTTAGAAACAAAGACTTGGATGATATCAGTTACTTTAGAATATCAACAAATCTCTAATCTTATAAATTAATAAAAGGTGTTATTTAATTAATCTAAATCTAATCTTAAAACATTATAATTGTTAGTGTTAGTTAGTATCCTTGAATTGTGTCAACATTTCCAATGCATGAATACTTGTACTTTGTTATTAAATTATGATACTCTAATATTGATAGACAAAAAAGCCCCAAATGCCGTTAGAAGTAATTAAATGCTGACAACTTACTTCCAAATGCACTCATACTTGGAATGTGTGCATTTATATATGAAGAAGCACCATTTATAAATTTCTATATTCACATTGAAAATAAAGCGCACTCTTTTTTCTTGATGATAAATAAAGACTACCTTTGAAATGATGTAAATTTTTAAAGTGGTTAATCTCTTAAAGTTGTGCTTGAAATGTCTAAATCAATAAAATATACTATATTATTAAAATATTTTATACTTAAATATTCTTGGCTCTAACTTTTAGAGGGATTGTATTAATTACAAAAGACGTCCTTTATTAATTTTTGTCTAGTAAGATCTGAAATGAACTATTGTCATTGAGTCTTTATCTCTGAAAATTGAATTGCCTGAAGCTATTGAATTATGAAGAGATTATGTTAAAATATGTTTTATTACTACATGTGCCAAATTCGTTTTCAAATAATGATTGATCAGGTTCATCGACAAAAACACAAAAAATCTATTGAAGTACAAAAGAGTATTCATATATCATAAAAAGTGAAACTCCAAAAAAAACCAAAAACCTAAATTTGTCATCTTCAACAATAAAATGATTTCAATTCTTTGTCCGTACTTAGTGAAGTAGTGTTTGATAAAATATTTATTGATAATACTAATATGATAAACACCCAGTCACAGAAAATTAAAATAAGATTTAGAAGTGAATACAAAAATGAAGCCTACATCATTTAGAGCCCGTTTGGTAACACTAAAATTGGCTGAATTGGCTGATTTTGCTGAAATTTATGAAGTTTTAGCTGAAGTGGCTGTATTAGCTGATTCTGCTGATTCATGAAAAAAAAATATTTAAAATACTCCATATTTGTTATTAATAAATTAAATAAAAAATTATATGAAAAATAGCTAAAATGATCATCTACAGTAACTTCAGCCAATGCAGCCAGAAAAGTAACCCAACCTTACTTTTTCTGCTTATTACTTTTTCTGCACACGAAATCAAAAGTTACATATTTGGTGAAAAAGCTGATTGATAAGTCGAAAAAGGGAGTCACGAAACGGGCTCTGGCATTCACATGACCTTAACAGTGGCACGGCATTAACGGTGAAAATAAATTCATCTTCACGTCAATTGCTTCTTAGTGAATTTAATGGTGGCAGGGCATTTTTGTCCATCTAGACTACAAAAATGTACAAATTGAAGGATACTAATCCTCATGCACACAAAACATTGACACAATTAAAGAATACTAACCAACACTCATTATAATTAAATGAGTCTGTGGAGAGAAAATACAAGTTTCCTATTTTTTGGAATAAAAATGTATGTATTCTTAATTTAAATTTTTTTGTGACTTGTTTGAAAAAAGAGTTTATGAATATATAAGTTCGATGAAATATACTTGAGATGAATATATATTTGCTTTGTCAATATAAAAACTTGTTAAGCTACAGAAAAATAAAAATTACTAGTAATAAACAATAAAAACATACCACCATCATGCAATAAATTGAAAAATATATACATAAAAGACTTAATAGATCATGCATTATAATGTAGCTAAATTATTGTAGGGAATGAATGTGTAATTGCAACTAAATGAATTAAACATAACACAAAAATTAACTTTATAGCACAATGATATCAATGATACTAGGATTAATGCTTAGTGGTTAACAAATAAAATTTCATATTTTTATTAGTTCAGTTTATTCGATTCGGTTCGGTTTTGAATGACCGAAATCGAAACTAAACCAAAAAACTATGGTTTGGTTCGACTTTTATATTCGTTTTTTTGCGCTTCGGTTTAATTTGGTTTCGGTTCGATTCATTCTGATTCAATTATCAGTTTTCGATTTTTTCGGACTCAACCCTACTTTGTATTTTGTATTCAGATTTTATAAGAGTAATCACATGTAGGACAATAAGTTTAACAAGCATGTAACATTAGGGGTGGGCATAACGGTTTGGTTTAACCGGACCGTATGCAATTTGGTTTGAGTTTGGTACTATTTCTTCTAAACCATATTAAACCGAACCGAATCCGATAAAAACCACAAAACCGAACCGAACTAAAGAAATTCAAAAAAACTTCATATATTATTAAAAATTAACAAATCCAAACCGAACCAAACCGAACTAAACTGAACCGAAACAAACCGAAAAATAGTACGAAGTATGTTTTTTGTTTCGTAATAATTCTTCCAACCCGTTCCAAACCGAACCGAATCGAAACCAATAAAAACCGAACCGAAACCGATATATCCAGCCCGATGTAACATGCTCACTAACGAGCAAGTGAAGTGAGAAGATTAACATATCAATCATATCTTGGTATTAATCAAGTACATTAAACAAATAAATTTCAAAATATTATACAAATAAAAAAGACTTTAATTTTATGACTCCGATTACATAACTATTAGAACTATTGCATAACATATTTACCTTTTCAATGCCAAAACCATACATATTTTTTTAAGAAAAAAACCCATCAATATTTGAGGAAACGGTCCAACCCAGCTGGTCGCCGACTAACTCTCCCTTATGGCAGGTCTCAACCTCTTGGGTTCAAAACTCAATGGAGTGAGTTTCAACACTAATTACTCCAGGCCCCCTCCCCCAGACGCCTCCTGGAGTATAAAAAACAAAAAGTAACCATCAATTTCATCACTGGCACTATTGATCAATAGTTCTCGGTAATTCGGTATCATATAAGTGAGATAATAAACTCTTAGAAGTTTTAACCTCTAATTATAATTTATAAATAGTATGTTTAGGTATAAATTTGTTGTTACATTTTTAGTATGATTCCCATTTAACTTTTATTTATTGGTTGAAAAATGTTGTTTGGCATTTCATCGCCAATAAATACAAGTCACACAAGAATGTGCTTAAAAATGTTTAAAACAAATGTATATCTAGATGTATTCAATTATAAATAGTGCTAACTGTGAAATAAAAAAGGTTAAAGTTGCACTTACAAAACTAAGAGCCCGTTTGGTAGCACGAAAATCGCTTGATTTGGCTGATTCTGCTGAAATTTATGAAGTTCTGACTGAAGTGGCTGTATTGGTTGATTCTGCTGAAAAAAATTATTTTTGAAATATATTACATTAAAAAAAATTATATGTAAAATAACTAAAATGGTCATCTACAGTAACTTCAGCCAATACAGCCAGAAAAGTAACTTCAACATTACTTTTTATGTTTATTACACAAGTCAGCGCGCGAAAGCAAAAGTTACGTTTTTGGTGAAAAAGTTGGTTGATAAGTCTAATAAGCAAAAAAACAGTGTTATCAAACGCCTCATAAGTATCCTCACTTCCATTGTAACGAAATAATCATGTCAAAAGCACGCCAAGTTATATGAACATTTAACGTGGCAAAGGTACAATTGTACTTCTATTTGTTTTCCTTACCTGTATGAATGAAAAATTATTCTTCTGTTCATCTACAAATGAATTTTTATTTCATTTAAAGATAAAATTGTGTGAATATATTTTTCCTTATCAAAGTAAATTAAAGCCGAATCATAAAATTTTACTTTTTAAAGACCCGCCAAAATCAAACAATAACGATAATAATAACCTAATTTGGGAAGTGATTTAGTATTTGTATCTACACAGTCGCAACCAATAGTGTAAGAACCAATAGTGATTTATTAAAAAGTAGTCTCGAGGGGCTTGTTTGGTAATTTAAAAAACATCAAATGTATTTTGCAACTCTCACTCACGAAAAAGATTTGCGTGACACAATGTAAAATGTTTACAAAAGTGTCTCACTGTTTACAATAATAATCAAACCAAACAAGATAAACTCTTTCTCACGTGCAAGCATTTTACATCAATTTTCACTGATTAGTGCCTCTTCCTTTTTGCTACATCAATGTCAAGTAGTCTATAACTCTATACACATGCGATTATTCAATTATTGCATTTCACATACAAAAAGTGGTATTATTATTGTAATGGAAATAAGAAACTTGATGTAGCTAATTAAACAGCTGGGGGGAGTTTGTTTCGAAGAAAAGATGAAATTACAGTCAGTGATCGTTCTGGTTGGTAGCTCGCAAATTCGTGCCCCGCTCCTCGTATTGTGACCAGTGTCAACCCTTTATGCCCTTCAACATATCCTCCCACCTCCTGCAAATTATATTTGTGCATGGATAAATTCTTTACTTTAGCAGAGGCATTCTTCCCACACAAAGTACTTAAAAGATTCATAAGTACCTGGTTAGAAAGCCATGGGCGCCAATCAGTCACCTCAGCAAGCTGCATAGCATTTACTGCCAGCCTGGTTGTTGTTACTGATATAATTCCATCTGTGTCCCCACTGCGCCATTTTTGGGGCATTATTAACAAAGTTATCCTATAGATTCTAAGTTTGAAGTTTGTGTCTGTGTAGGGGGAGGAGGGGTACTTATGGGCTTACCTTATAATCCATATGTTTACTTTATTTGCAATGAGCTGCTTGAGTATGGGTAGCACAGTATCAGGCGAATCTTTCCATGTCCCCCGACTGATATATTTGCTGCATTGATATTTATATAAGCTCGTCTTTTTTCGTTCTTGAAAAAAGTTTGACCCCAACCATGCAAAGGCTTGATCTTTAACTCGGATAGTTGGAATGCTTTAAAACGGAAATGTTTTTGGTTCTTGATAGAATTCCACATCAAGAAACTAAAAAGATAATGATGACTTATAAGACCCTGATTTGAACTAGCTAACAGATTGAATTCAATCTTTATGTTGAGGAACCTCAACATTATCCTGATATGTATCGGTTCTGATTGTGTAGACTCGAATACCTGCAAAGTGTCCAATTGGTATCGATGGCATGTAATGCTTCTTGCACGTTCTTCCGGTTGAGGTAAGCCTCAACATAATTGCGTTAGCATTCATCATATCCCTTCATCAGCATTTCACAGATCACATTCATTTAGCATTGGCTTTGTAAGATGAGTTTAACTAGAGTATCATATCATATAGCAGAATGGTTAAAACAAAGACTTACTGAAACATGAGATTGGGGTTTCTGTGCATCTTGTGTGCAGGCAGAAGAGTAAATGTTATCCCTAAGCACAGGCCCAACCTCATTTTGACCTTTGGAGATGTACTCTTTGCAACTGGCAGAATAGTTTGCATTGTCAAAGTCACAGTACTTGTTAATTGCTGCATGAGTTTTATCTGAAATCATTGCATGTGTCCATAAATACTCTAAGTTCCCTTTCAAAAGTAAATGACGGTCCAGAATAGGATTCCCAATCTGCAAAAAGACAACTTGTAGGAACATAAGAAAAATTCCATCATTGATGAAAAAACATTGTATATATGACTCACAGCAATGTCTTTGAGGTTAATGAATGTCTGGTTGGGATTCTGATTATGGGCTACAATGGTGTAAGCCAGCTGTGCCACAAAACGACCACCATAGCTCACTCCTGTTAAGTAAAAATCGCGGTTTTTGTACTGCGGGAATCTCTCAAACCAGTTAACTAGAAAGGTATATGTATCCTCCGCCGTTCTCTTGTCGCCAGTGGTGTTGTAGTCAGAGGTTGTGTTGGAATAGGAAAACCCCACACCAGCCGGAGATTCCAGGAACAATACATTTGCCACTGCCATTTCAAACATATTCACCAAACCTCAGCTATTATAATTTTAGATTCCATCTGAAATGTTTTACTCAAACAGTTGTAATTTGAAAGTCCCAGTCCCAATTTGATTTTTTAAATCAAGCTTCATTAAGTTTGACCTTACACATTTCATAAATAAATTTAAATAATACGCTATATGAAAGATAGTATTGACCAAATTGTTATAAAGCAATGTGCCAGTGTATACTTTTGAAAAATTACAGAACTATAATTCTCATGAATACATATTTGTATGACATCAAAGATATTGAGGTCAAACTAGGACTATAAAATTGGGAAGGAAAGAGTAATATTATCACCTCCCTTTATTACTAAACTTATCCGATCCAAGCAGAGTTTGATTGCTTACCTTTGTTCCAAGAATAGTAATTCATGTACAATGTTTTTCCGTCACTGTGAACTTTGAAAGGCCCAAGTTGCAGGAATGATCCATATCCAAAGGATGAGCATCCTGGTCCTGCATACCTCACCAAATACAAAACTTAACCAACAGTTGCTACTAAAGAGTAAAGATTGACTATGTAGGGGATAAATCATAAACGAGTAAAATGCACAAATAGTACCTCAACTATTGGTAATGTTGCATTTTAGTACCTTAACTCTTTAATGAAGCAAATCAGTACCTCAACTACGTTTGAATGTTGCATCCGACGGTACCATTCAATTTTCCGGCCAAAAATGCCACTTGTCCGCCGGAAATCCACGTGTATATCCTAGTCGTCATTTTTACCCACGTCATTTGTGTATAATACATGTCATTTGTGATGATTAAGCTATCAAAACTTTATGTAACCCAAAAAACCATGCTTAGGATTCGAACTCACGTCAACAACAACGCACGTTGTTGCTTGATTCTATACCAACCCATCCGGCCATGATGCTTTTTTATTAGTCCATGGACAGAAAGAGCACAAGTATCATGCTCTTCCGTTTTGACTAATTAACTCTTTTTTTTGACAAATCTCTAAATATGTTGTTATATGGATTATACCAAAGTATTCATAAATCTGTAATATATTATATATTTTTCACACCATCTTATATATGTTTAATTTAAATATTTTTGTTAAAATTATATTTCACGTTTTTAGTCTAAAATTCCAACAATTGAAATTTTAGACATTTTATTACTTTATATATGTAATATTTGTGTTACATGAAAGATTATGAAAAATTACTACATTCATCCCGAAAAGGTTTGCCAAATTAACATTTTGGTCAATAAAGTTTTGGTCAATATCATCCACGAAAAAGTTCACCATATTCATATTTTTTGTCAATGTTCACAAACTTTGGATAATAAGTTTAATTTCTAAATTTATAAATAATTTATAAAAAATTATAAATTTATAATTTATAAATTTTATACTTTTAATAAAACATTTTGAATAAATGTGAATATGATGAACTTTTTTTTAATTTATAAATTAACATACTTCATAAATTTATAATTTTTTTATAAATTATTTATAAGTTTAGAAATTAAACTTATTATCCAAAGTTTGTGATCATTGACAAAAAAATGTGAATATGGTGAACTTTTTGGAGGATGATATTGAGCAAAACTTGATTGACCAAAATGTCGATTTGGCAAACATTTTCGGGACGAACGTAGTAATTTTTTATAATCTTTCATGTAACACAAATATTACATATACAAATTAAAAAATGTCTGAAATTTCAATTGTTAGAATTTTAGACTAGAAACGTGAAATATAATTTTAAAAAATATTTAAATTAAACATATATAAGATGGTGTGAAAATATATAATATATTACATATTTATGAATACTTTGGTAAACTCCGTAACACATATTTAGAGATTTGTCAAAAAAAAAATAGAGTTAATTAGTCAAAACGGAAGAGCAACGATACTGGTGCTCTTTTCGTCCGTTGAGTAAACAAAAAGCGTCATGGCCGGATGGGTTGGTATGGGCATTAAGCAGCAGCTTGTGGTGGCCGACGCGCGTTCGATTCCTAGTCTTTTTTTTGGGTTACTTAATTTTTTTATAGCTTAATCATCACAAATGACATGCATTATACACAAATAACGTGGATAAAAATGATGACTAGGATATACACGTGAATTTCCGACGGACAAGTGGCAATTTTTGGCCGGAAAGTAAAATGGTACCGCCGGATGCAACATTTAAACGTAGTTGAGGTACTGATTAGCTTCATTAAACAGTTAATGTACTAAAATGCAACATTACCAATAGTTGAAGTACTGTTTATGAATTTACCTAATATCTTAAGGGTATGTTTGGATCCTTTAAAATGCGTGGGAGAAGGGAAACCAAGTAATGAAAGGGAAAAGTGTAAAAAAGATATATGTTGTTGAGCGCGTTTTCAGTTTGTGTTTCATTTCTTATCAAAATAGTCCTCGTGTTTTTATTTTGTTATCGAAATTTTGCGCCCAACATCATTACAAATCGTCAAAGGAAGACCGATAAACAATAACTCCGATCTTCAAAAGTATAGGAAAACTAAAAGAAAAATATTGGAAAGTAACACCCTACACCTCATCTATGAGACCTCTAGACCATCATTCTTTTATATTTCCAGCAACCCTCGTGCCGAAAAGTCTATCATAAAAGTGATATTGATGAATTATTATTTTAAATCTAAAAAGGTCAAAAATGTCCACAAAAAGAAGATAGGTTGGACGTCGCCTTGACGAGGCGCACCTCCCAGTAATTCTCTTTTTATTTTCCACACACTTTTAAAAATTGGAGTTATTGTTCATCTTCTATGACAATTTTTAAAAGAAAATCAATTTCTTACGTTTGGTTTTATTTTATAAAATAGAAGCAAATGAAATATGATTATACATGTGCGTCTTTGTGTGTGTACAATCGAAATAAACAACGGCTATTAGCTCTAAATAAGAGTAATATTACTTCTAAATACAATAATAGGAGTAATATATGTATCTCTTCTTGTTCTACCCCTTCCTATAATCCCTACTAGATTTACTTTTTTTTTGAAGTATACTAGATTTACTTTATTAAGAAGAAAATCATAGTTTTATTCATAATAAAAATATAAACAATAAAAATATTTATAAATTAATACTAAAAATGGGAAAAAATAAATAAACAAAAATAGTAATTAAATAACTTTAAAAATAAAATAGAGTATCGAAAAAAACATTAAAAATATGTAGGCCTCTGTCACCGCATCCTCTACCTCCCGGTACTATCAACTCCGAACGCCGGAAAAATACCATATTGGGTAAAAAGTACAACACTTTTACTCTTTGAAAATATTAAACTTTGCTTTGAAAATACTCTTTGTAAGCATGACAAGGGAAAGGGTAAGATAAGAAGAGTACTCCTATTTTGGGAATTTAAATTTTATGTTCTTATTCATGCAATTTTGATTTCATTTGCTCCTATCTAGAAAATTGACCCAGTCACAAATTGTTTGGGAATAAATAGTCAAATATATTGGCAATTGTGGCAAATAAGTTAGGTCCACGTCCAACTTTTAAATTAAATATCTGGCATCATCGTGCATTACTGTTTAATGTTGATCGTATTAGAGAGATTAAATATTGAATTACTTCTCTGGTCTCGATTTCAAAACAAATCCACCTTATTCTTTAATTTGAGTATCAATTGCCAAGTCCTAACTGTTTTCATATTTATTTTTTATCTTCAAAAAAAAAAAATTATTTTAGTTTCTAAAGATATACTCCATAACTTATTGTTAACTCAAATTTTGATTATTCATGTGGATTAAAGAAGTGAAAATTACGATATTGAAAATCATTAAAGAGAAATAAATGAACCGAATCCAGCACAAACATAAAAGTAAAGTAGGACATAATAATGAGAGAAGTATGTTTTAATTTTAATGACTAAAATCCCATTTGATAACACTAATTTTCGATTTCACACACTGAATTACATCATAGTAATAATAAATAAAGTTAAAGTTGTTTTTACAATTGAATTAGGCAGAAATTTAACTTTGCACCCCACTTTTTGGTTGATATTGGACTTTGCATTCCGTTTTTAAAAAAAATGACTTTACTCCACATTTCACTTAAAAATCATTTGACTTTGCACTCTATTCAGAAACTTTTCTACACAGAATGTTATGTGATGGGGTGCAAAGTCAATGTTTTATTAAAATGGAGTGTGAAGTCCAAAACCACCTAAAATGTGGGGTGCAAAGTCAAATTCTCCCATTAATTAACTGAATCCACTCAATATGATAATTTTAGGTCATTTTCATATATATTTTCTCTATTTTGAAACTTTATTTATTTATTTATTTATTTTTAAAAAAATGTATTTAAGATTTTCAAAAATAAATACGGATTTTTTTAAATATTACTAAAATAAATTTATCTACACAAATATAATTAGTAGTTACTACTTCATCCTTCCCATTTTATCTGTCCTAGTTTCTTTTTTTATTTGTCCCAAAATAAGTGTCTCATTTCCTCTTTTGGAAAGAAATATGTGGTCTAGAACAACTTTTGTTTTTTCAATCACTTCATAGCAATTTTAGTTTAAAACTTGAAAATAAATGGTTATACTACTACTCTAGTCACTAATTACATTTTTGTAAATAATCGTTATTTTCAGTCATAAATATACAATCATTTCAAATCAATAAACTCAACACTTTTATCATAATTAAAAAAAAATGAGTTGATTTGAATGTTACCAAATCGCTCGGAAAGGCTAAGGATGTTTTTACTTGGACTGTAATTTGCCCCAGACCAGACTAGACCAGTCCAGACCAGACCAGTTCAGACCAGATCAGACCAGACTAAATCAGACCAGACCAGACTTGGATAGTTATAAAAATACAAAGAAACCAGACCTAATCAGACCAGACCAGATCAGTTCAGACCAGACCAGATCAGACCAGCAAATTACCATCCAAGTAAAAACATCCTAAAACTAGTCCATGATATTTTTCAAATATGGCCATAGAGCGAATGCAATGAATGGTAAGCTCCATACCTCCAGCGAGCCATAAGACCAGAGGCTTGGCAGAGGAATTCCGATGAGATTCAGCAAAGTAATAAAACAGAGATCTTCCAGCCTTGGGGTCAACCGTCACATAGCCTGAATATTGGTCAAACTCCACTCCGAGAGGTTGCCCCGGCAGGGAAACGATCTTATCAGCTTCCCTCAACCCTTTCTGCGGACCAACATAAACTGAAGAAGAGGAAAAGAGATAGTTGTGCAGCTGGGGCCACTCTCCTGAGAGAGCATTTTCACTATTGCGTGAGAGTCCAGAGCTGATTACTACATCGTAGAGGGATTTGGCCTGAGGATTGGCTTCACATTGTGTGATGGGGAAATCCCATTGCTGCCGGGTGAGAAGCAATGGAAACCATGACAGCCACAGCCTCATTAACTTCATCTTCCCAATAAACCCCACAGTCTTTTATTAGTTACCAAATTTATAAGATCTCTACTTCATATTTATTTACATTTTGTAAGCCGAACTAAAATGTATGGTCTGGCCCTCGTCCGGTTCGAATGAGTCTGGTAAATGTCTGGTCTGTGCCTAGAGTTTGGGAGCTCTCCCAACGGCTATTAGAGCCTTTACCAATCTTTTACTACCTCCGTCCCAAATTGATTTGCAAATTTGACTTTTCTTGGTCAAACAGTTTTGTTTTGTTCACTTAATTAGGATGTCAATTTTTAATTATATTCTAATTTGGAGTTTACAACTTTGAAGAGATTTTAATGTAGTTTATGAATATGTAAATTTTAATTATTAAAAATTGAGTTAAATAGCCATACGGAGCATTGACTTTTATTATTGGTTGACCAAAAAATGTTGACTTTGCAAAACAAATTGGGACGGAGGGAGTATTATACAAAGCTAAGATGAAATCTGCACAGTGTTCCCGCCCAAACACTGTGCAGTAACGGGCCGGGTCAGTTTAACATGGGTCCAAAAACGGGTCTGGTGCAAGCTCACTGCTGTTCTTTAATGCAGGCCACTCACGCAGGGTTTTAGTTGTGTGGCTCAAGACGTGTACTATTCAGTACAGAGCATTATATGTCCACCAGTTCACAGGGTGGTTGCTTTTATTATTCAAAAAGGTTAAATTGTACTTTTTGAACCAAGAGATTAGAGATCACAAATAAAATCCTCATGCATCCTTGAGCCCCAAAAACATTAAATGATTTGTACTATGACAAAACTACTTTTCGTATTTCTCTCAAGCATTTTGAAAATGAGATATTGTTATGATTAAAAAATGAAGTAAAGATGGTAAAAGAACTTTAAATGAGTTGTCCTTTAATTTCTTTTTTAATGCCAAATTATAGAGAACTTTAAATGAATTGTACTCCTGATTTGAAATTGGCCGAAAGGTGATTTGATATTGGCCGAAAGGTATAAAGGAAATTTAAGAACTGTAATAATGCAGAATTTGTTGTCCTAGCAGGTTATTGACCATTGGTTAATTTGATACGTTTATTCTAAGCAGTTCTAAGATCATAGTATAAATACGTCCAATTGCATTACATGCGCCTCACAGAGCTGCACATCATACCAATAGAGCTGACGGTGGGAGTTGCTTTAATAGAGCTGCACATCATGAAGAAGTATATTGTCATTATTATGTGCTTAAACAATCACCAAGACTTGAAGAAATAGGGTATTTATGATACGAGTAATAACTTGCAACCAACACAGGTAAACTCAATCTTATAATTACATAGTAGTTTTTAACATTCCTATTATTTTGTATGCTTTCTAACAGTTTTGATAAACACAGTTGTTATTGGCATGGTTGTGGGAAAGCATGTTTCTCAAACACATAAAATCAATGGCAGGAACAAAAGGTGTATGATTTCTATCAGCCAAATTCCATTAGCAGCCAATCAAAGCATTTTTTTAATTGAGGGACAGTTGTAGGTGCCATTGAAGTTCGTACGCATCAAAGGGATGGGAGAACTAAAAACAAATCTATGAAGAGGTGTATGATTTTTCTTTTACAACACTTTTTAAAAAGATGCAGAAAATGGAGGTCTTCATAGTTATGTTCAACTGAGGCTAACATTTACAAATATTGACAGGAAGAATGTAAACGTGGATCAACAAGTAATCAATGACAATCTATTAAATGGTGAGCCCAGATCCATGCGAACAGTTGTTATTGCAGTTGGTTTTTAGTTTGTTTGTATTGCATAATATGTACTACGTATGTTTTCTTGCAGGATTTATGGTAAAACATATACAGCAAAAGGTTGTGCAGCACAATCAGCATTCAATGATAGCAATGTGCAAAGGAAAATCTCAAATACAATAAAATAGTTATAGATAATAAGTAATATTTCAATACTTATTATAACAGATATATATATTAAAATAGTTATACTTCAAGAGTTACTTATGCAATTCATGTTAGGTTTACCAACAATATTCGACAAATTCGGCCATTTTATGTATTTTGAAAACAAATAAAAAAACATACATTATTGACTGATACGTACTACAGAAGCACATATCTTGACACGTTTCTTTTGTTTTTTAAAAAATCATCACTATTAGAAGGATGGATTTAAACAATTCAGGAAAAATAATCACTTTTGCTGCCTGATAAAGAAATTAAAAGAAGGATATCTTTTACTGAAAATAGTTGTTAAGAGGACAGTTTCAAAGGAAAATAGCTGGTTTTGAATTCTACGACTGTTATTGGCTTTCTGTTTCAAAATTCAAGCTTCAATAAATGGATAATAGCTTCCAAGTAATTAATTAAACTAGCTTACTCTTTGCTAAACGAGCTGGTCGGTAAATACGTAGTCAGGTGCAAAAGTATAGATTTTAATGCATAAGGCATCCATTTATTGTTAATCAAAAGAGCTGATAAGCTCCTGAAATTGGCTTAAAAGTCCAACTCATGAATGAGGATATGTGATTGAGAAGCATTTAGAGATGTGATTATATTCAGAAAATGGGTAAAAACACTATGATTTTGAATGGTAACAATTAAGAATCCGATTCCAACTACCAAGAATGTAACAATTAAGAATCCGATTCCAAATTATATAACCGCAAAAGATTTTGTAAAAAAAATAAGACGGTATACAGAGGATTCTCTATTGTGACAACCAAAGTATCACAGGTAGTGGTGGACCCGGTTCGGGCCGCCCGGCCCAGGACCGGCCCGGCCCGTCACTGTACGGGCCCGGAACCGGCCCGGTTCTCGGGTCCGGGTCCGGTTCGGGCACCGAACCGGTGGGAGAAGCGGGTCCGGGCTCGGGTTCTGTTTTTGGTGGCCCGGCCCGGCCGGGTCGGGCCCGGGCCTAACGGTCATTTTAAAAAAAATTGTTTTAATTTTAAAAAACACATTTTGGCTCAACAGCCACTTCCCAAACGGCTATATAGCCGTTGGGGGGGTACCAGGGGGGGTCCGGGGCGTTTGGGGGGGTGGGGGGTGGGGGTTAAAAAAAACCTATAAATACTCCTAATTTTAAACATTGTTTCACACCTCTTCTCCAACTCTCCCTAAATCCTACTCTCTACTCATCTCCAATTCTCCATATTCATCTTCTCAAATTCTCTTATTCTCCTTTATATTTTATTTTACTTTTTAATACTTATACAATTATTATATCTACTTATATATTAATTATCTACTTTAAATACATATACTATATTACTTATATTTCTTATCTACTTAATCTCTACTTATATTTCTTAATACATACATACATACATACATACATACTACATCTACTTAATATATACTTTATATAATAAAGTATTAAATATACTTTATAAACTATTACTATATACTTAATACATAATAATATCTACTTCTCTACTTAATTATATCTATTTTATATATACTTATTTTATAATATCTACTTTTATATATACTTTATAATATCTATTTTATATATACTTATTTTCTTATTTTCCAATCTCCAATTCTCCATTATACTCTAATATTTAATTCTTATACAATTATTATATCCACTTAATACATACATTCTACATCTACTTAATATATACTTTATATATTAAAGTATAAAATATAAGTGTATTACTCATCTTATAGTAGTATACTTATATATTATATACTATAAACATTATATTATATATTACTTACTATAACTAGTATTGTACTAGTTAATTAGTTAATTAGCATTCTTGTTACATTTATCATTATAATAGTTAATTAGTTCATTACCATTATTGTTACATTTTTCATTATACTAGTTAATTAGTTTATTAGCATTCTTGTTACATTTGTCATTATACTAGTTAATTAGTTAATTAGCATTGTTGTTACATTTTTCATTATACTAGTTATTTACTTCATTAGTATTCTCATTAATTGTTAAAACAACTCTACTTCAATAAACTAGTTAATTGTCATTAATTCATTATAGTTAAAGTCACATTTTCTTATTTTCAATTTATATTTGTAGGAAGAAATAGTAGTTCAATCATTTAATTAAAGTACTTAACATTTTATTTAAGTAGTTTTTACTAAATTAAAGTACTTCAAAAGTTGGTATAATACACCTATTTTGTAACATTTGTAATTTGTTTAAATACTTATACACCTATTTCATGTAATTTGTTTAAATACTTATACACCTATTTTGTAACATTTGTAAATTATAAATCAAACCACTTTTCTAAGTACAAATAGTTTTAGTTTTACTTAATTCATTAAATTAATTAATTTATTTTACAATATGTATAACTTTAAAAAAAAAAATTGAAATCAAACCTCCCAAACGGCTATATAGCCGTTGGGGCTATGGGTGGGGGGCAGGGGGGGTCCCGGGGGTGGTGTTGTGGGGAGTGGGGTTCAAAAACATCTATAAATACATCTATTTTCTAATATTTTTCTACACCTCTTCTTCAATTCTTCTCCATCTTCATCTTCTCTTATTATCCTACATTCCTACTTATACATATACCATTTTAAATATGGAAAGTACATCTTCCCTTATGCAAAACAATTTTGACAAGTGGAAGGACCCGAAGACCGGACTGTGGTGGGCAACTTGCAGGTGGTGCAAGAAAGAGTGTTGCTTGGGGCGTTCATACGGATACGGGATGCCAATAAAACATATGAAGTCCTGTGACAAAGGGAAAACAACAACCAACGGTGGCGGAAATCTCAATTGATATTCATTAGAAAATGTATTTCGTATTGTTATTTTTTTCTCAATTCTCAAATGTAGGTCTTATTTCAAATAAATGCACTTGAACTTTGTTTTTAATAGGAATTTGTAAAATATATAATTAATTAAAAAAAAATACTGGCCCGGCCCGGCGGGTGGCCCGACCCGTGACCCGGGCGGGTGGCCCGGCGGGTGGCCCGACCCGTGACCCGGGCGGGTGGCCCGGCCCGAACCAGAACCGGCCATTGCCCGGGCCGGTCCCGGGCCTACCATTACAAGACCCGAG